CGGATCAAAAACTATTTACATTCTTCAGCGTATCGGTCATGTTAGTGTACCAGCTGTGACTGTGATCTCAAAGGGTTAAAATAGACATTTTAAGAAGTATTTTTGTCTCTTGGTTCAAATCTCTCGCTTTGGACCTCCCTGTGTGGATCAATTATGCACATAAATGCACAGAATAGAATTCTGAGTTGAAATGTGTAAAAAAGAAAATGTGGCTGGTAGTGTGAAGCACTTTGAGTGTTCAGTAAGACCGAAAAGGTGCTCTGTAAATGCCAGTCTATCCCATATCAAAGCCAGGAGTTTTAGTTTGAGACTTTAGCATAAAAAAGTTATTTAGTTTAATAGAAGCAACATTTTTCTCAGAGTCGATCTTCTTAATAACTCCAGAGCCGGGTGTGCGGCAGGTTTTTTTAGCCATGCTTTGACTATCCACATCAGCATTTGCATCACTCCTTCCTCATGCTTCTGCAGTGATGACACACCTTATCTGCGACTCTAGTCGAACACTGTGCCATTTTCTTTACTCTTACTCCTGTTACCAGGTTGTAGCTGGGAGGTTTACGAGGTGAGGGGATGATCCAAGTCGCTGACTCTGTTCTCCTCCCCTTTTTTCCCTCAGTATTCACAGTTTCCTGTGCTTTTACCTATACTGGTCTATCTTCATGTTGGTATTTGTGACTTTATTCTATGTCCCTCATTCCTATCTTTGTTTATTTATCTTCATCTGGCTTTCTGTGATTTTACTTTCTGGCTTTGCCCTGATCAGTTAGTGTCTGAAGCCATTTTCACTCATACATCAGTATTTTTTGCTCAGTTCCCCTTATTCATATGTAGCAAATAACAGGAAACAATCTATATATACAGAAATTAGAAGGTGAGAGCAGAGGAGGAAGCACACGTGTCCAGTCTGACTGTGTTGGGTCTTTACGCTCTCAAACAGACCTCTGTCGGCTCTGCAGTGCATTAGTGAAAACAACTTTTTTGACACTTTGTTTTTTCTCCCACTTCTATTCATGCCTCTCGTGTTTCCTACTGGTTTTATCAGTAAACCTGTTGGTTGGACTTTTGCTTTGTCTTCTTAGCAGTTCGATCTCCTTTAGTTGAATGCCCTTTCATTTTATTTGGGTCCTCGCCTTGACAAAGTGTAAGAGGATACCCCCGCCTCACCTTCGTGTTGACTGAGTTCAAACCAGTTCAGTTTCATTTATACATCACCAATTCACAACAACAGTGGCCTGAAGGTAATTTATATTGTTAGGGAAGATCCTAAAATACTGGTGAAAGTGGAGAGGAAGAACTCTCTTTTAACAGGAAGAGACCTCCAGCAGAAGCAGGCTCAGGGAGGGGCAGACATCGGCCATGACCAGTTGGGAGGTCAGAGGAAAGAACAGAGAGAAATGAACATGGAGGATAAACAGATCATGGACAGGAGAAGAAAAAAATGTAAGGTGTGTAATGGTGGCATTTAAACACAACAGGAGTGGAGAGGAGGAACGAGGAAAGGCAGGGGTTTTACACTGATCTGGGAACAGTTCAAGTTAAACACAGGTAGGTTTTGTCTCTGCAAACGTCTTTCTGCTGAAATCCTGTGTTAGTTTTCACCACTCCTCTCCTTTTGTGTAAAAGTTTACTGTCGCTATAGTTCACTGGAGTCCCAAAGCTTTAGAAAATGCTTTTCCAGACTGATGGATGTTTCTCAGCTGTCTCTACAGATCGCGGGATGATGCTTTGCTTTTTTACACCACTGTCCCCCAAAAAATGACGGCTCTGAAACAACATGGAGTAAGAATGAGCCAGTCTGTAGCGCAGCAATCCCTGGTGCTGAACACACTGTATGCTGAATCTCCTGTTTTGTGATTAGGACACAGATTGTTTCCACCTTATTTCTGGCATTTGCATATAATGAATGACATTTAAAACTTCCCCTGTGGCTCAGGCTTATCATCTCTGTGTTACAGACTTTCAACAGCAGTAGATTCATTCAGTAGATGTTTAGAAATCCAAGCTTCAATCTGCTTCATCAGACATCACCACCAATAAGTAAACAACTTAATCCACCAATGAGGCTGACAGTAAAACACAAAGAACTACGAGTTGCACTAAACAGAGTCCCGTTGATCACAGTCTTTTGTATGCAGGGCTGTGTTATCTGGTGAGTAATCTTTCTAATTATAAAATCATGACCAGGCCAGAGGAGACAGAGTGTCCTTGCCCTGATTCTCTGTACAGATTCACATCTCTGAGCCAAATGGCAGTGTGGTCACAGCGTAACAAGGTCCAGTGTGTTTACTTAGACATTTGATACATCGACAGATGCACTGTGATCAAACTGTACGACTGCTGCAAGAATAAGGATGCTGTTTGAGAACAAAGTTGCCTAAACTTCAGCCACAAGGTCTCTAATATTTGGTTGCTATAGTGCATTATAGCAGGTGGGCAGCAAGCCTCATGTGAACAGCTTTGATCCTGTGGCTGGTCTACACCTCAGAAACGTCTGCGGCCACTTCTCCCTTCTGTGCAACCTCAAGCCACAGCCAAACAAATGGGCTGCTACTGCACACCCACTCGAAAATCCAGTTTTCCCAGAAACCTGACTGAAAAAGGTCTGCTGGCTATCAAATTAAAGCACAAAGGGTAAAACGCTACTCCAAAAAAAAAGCCTTGAATTCATGGATTTGTTTGGATCCTAAAATAATTCAGGACTGATAAATATTTCAGGCACAGACATCATAGTTTTATCTTTTACCTCTGTTTGGGTTGTCTGACTTTTTACAGCCAGGGGGGAAATCTTCCAAGGACTTTCTGATCATTTTAAAAGTATTTTAACTGGTTTGGGTTTAACATCACCTGACACAGAGGACTGAATCACATATTTCTCTGTAGTTTCTCTGTAGTTGCCAGCTGTGCAGCACCTTTATTGCGCTTTGCGGACTGATCACGTGACATATCACATATCAGAGTTTTTATTAGCTGAAGGAGGAGATAACAAACACCAAGTACTTTATGTCCAAAAGCTCTTTTAGCTCTTTCTATCCTGCAAAAAATGAAGAGAATTGTGGCAGGGGTGTTGTCTTTGGCTCCACTGCAGGGGAGGGGTGGTGCGGAGGACTCAAGGGGCACAGTGCCCGGGAGGTGGATGGAGCAGGTGGAGATATTTACTCTAATGAGGGTTTTTCCTTCTTTTAGTGATGGGGGGAAAGTGAGCTGGAGAGCTGAGGAACATTAAAAGCACTGTATACACTACAATAAACGACAAAAAAATACAATCTGAATCTGGTGTGGGTCCTCGTGTGTTCACAATAATATTCTAGCTTATTAAATTTTTTGAGTTGAAATTGTTTTAAAAATTTTCTATGTTCAGTTTCATAAAGGCTTAACTGACTTCCTGAATCCCAGCCTGCATCAAATACAGAGAAAAATGACAATTATTATTATCTAATCTTATCGAGACAGATTCCCGAGCTGGGACAGAAATATAATAAATAGTGGGATAGTGATAGTTGGAGCCTGGTTTTACTGTAGTGAGTTTTCAGATTTTCTCAGATGTATCAGAGAAGCTGCATACAGGAAGTCTAGTTTCTCAAGTTTAAGATGTGCATCTGATTTTTTTTCCCTTTTGAGGGCAAGGCCAAACCCGGAGATGGATTTTAGACTTAGCAGAAAATCAGCCTCTGATGATGATGATGATGATGATGATGATGATAATAAGAGAATCATCACAGTTGTGGTTCAGGCTCAATGCTGCCCCCTTCTGGAGCTGAATGTGAATCACCACCAAACTGTATTTACCACAGTCT